CGGTCATACAGAAACCCTATTAAGTGTCCATAATAACAAGATTATTATTATCCCTGTTTTGCTACTGGGGAAACTGAGGCAGAGAGTAAGTCACTGTCATACATGATGGAGCCCAGGACTATTAAAACATGGGGACTGCAGCACTGTGATATTGGGGTGCATCCTCTATATCATGGGGTGGCATAGCTGCTCTAGAGGCCTGCGAGGATCAAATGAGGGATAGGGAGTAGTCACAGCAGCCGTGTTCAGCATTTGCTCACCCTGTGCAGGCACTTGTTCCAATCAGTGTTCACAACCACACAATGAATTGGTCCCATTGCTGCTTCCATGTAGGTAGGGTGCTGAGGCCCAGCAAGTTTGGCTTGCAAAGGTCATACAGCTGGAAGGTGGTGAAGCCTGTATTCAAATTCAGTCTGTCCAGCTCCAGTGCCCACTTGCTTAGCTTCAGGTCTGAGGGCTATCAGGGCTGCCTGGTGTGTGTGTGTGTGTGGGTTCTGTAGACTTTGAGGCCTCAGGCTCCCTCTCATGCTTAGCTAATCAGGAGCTCTGCTTTCTTGCAGTCAGTTAGAAGTGCTATTTGGCCTGTGGTCCCCTGCATTCCTTCTGAAGAAGGGGACCGGGTAGGAGGCAGAGGTGTGGGGTCTGAGTGCCCCTCTGCCTGCTCTGTAGGCAGCAGCACTGGACATCTGTTATGTATTGTATTGTCACCCAAAATATGTGTTGGAACCCTAACCTTTGTATCTATGGGTGTGATTCTGTCTGGAAAAAGAATTTTCTGTCCAGTATTGGTGTAGGGTGTGTCTGAGTTATAAGGAGCAGCACAGACACAGAGACAAGGAAGCTCAAATGAGGGAAGATAGATGCCATGTGAAGATCGCCAAGGAACTGAGGAAGGCCAGGACTGTAGAAGCTAGAAAAGACAAAGATCTCCCCCCAGAGAGATCCTTCCACAGAGCTGGTGCCCTGAATTTAGTCTTTAAGCATCCTGAACTATGAGAAAATGCATTCCTGTTCTTTAAAGCCACTTGCTTGTGGCATTTCTGTTAAAGGTACACTAGGTAACTAAGAAAACACCCTCAGTGGCTGTGCTTTAAGCCTGTGAGAGCATCTAATCCCACCCCCTTTGTTTTATAGATGAGGAAACTGAGGCCAGGGAACTGGAGGGACTGTAGGGGGCACCACTGAAGGGCTGGAGCAGGGCCCCTGAGGCCCCTTTCTAGCAGGCTCTCCACTGCCTGAGATGTCTTCCCAGTTGCCCTCCCAGGTGGCAGTAGTATGAACAGAGTGGGTTGGACAGAGACTGGAAATGTGTCCTCCCTGTTCTGATCTCAGGAAGCAAGGTCCCAGGCTCTGAGCGGCCTTCACAACTGGTTGTGGGCAGGTGATTCTGAACAGGAGTCTAGAAGACTGGGGTGACCCTGTCTTCTCTTCCTGCAAGATGGTGCATATCTACTGTGGCACATAAACGCTGGCAGTAGCCAGGCTGGCCCAATTTCAGGGGGCACTGAGCAGGCGCCTCCACTGAAGGCAGCTCCTTCCTTCCTTTCATCCTCCTCTAGATGATGTATTCCCTTTTTCATATATTTTATTTCATGACAACAGGGTGGCTCCAGCCCAGGAAGTAAGCAGGAGGATTTATCTCCCAGTAAACAGCCTCCTTCCGGGATGGAGTCGTGCCCAAGAAAAGGTATATGTTTTGTCTCTGGGCAAGACCCAGGCTTTGATGGGCAGCCTTGGGCTCACCCCTCTGAGCAGGAAGGATATCCTCTAGAGAGGAGACAGGCCTGTCTCACATGCTTATCTTTCTAGGACTTGGGCTTTGGGAGCAGGTATTTTGGGGGGTGGGGTGAGAGGTAGGCAGGCAGTGTACCTCCCCACCCTCTGAGGCCACGAGAAAAGGGGAGATGGGTGCTGGAAGAACCAGCTTCAGAGCCTTGGGGACTAGCTCACCCTGGGCCCTGATATGGCCTTTGGAGGGGCCTTCGGGCTGGGGAGGGAGTGTGTGTGTGGGGTGCAGTCAGAGGCTGTCCTGGGAAGAGCACAGGGCAGCATAGATGAGACAGGGAGGGGTTCGAGGCCTGGGGCTGTCTATGTGACCTCTGAGAAGGCTGTAACTGTAGATCAAAGGAGCAGACTGGTGCTCTCAAAGTTCCCTTCCATCTTTAATGGCTCTGCAGTACATAAATCCTGTCTGTGACTTTGTTCACAGTAGAATGGGTGGTGGGGCATGGGGGGTGGAAGTTTAGGGCACTTCTAGCCCATATGGTACATTGTGTTAGTTAGAACCACCCCCCGCCCCTCCCCTTCCCCTTTCCCTCCCCTTCCCCTTCCCACAGCAGGGCTTAGGGTTTATGGAGGGACTGTGGGCTGAAAATCAGCCCTCCCTGCCCCTCACCCAGGCACCCTTGGACAAGGCAGAACCTGAACAGCCTTACATGGCAGGCCTGGTAAGGTTGCCAGATTTAGCAAATAAAAATAAAGATGATCAGTTACAGTTGAATTTCAGAAGAATGAGTAATTTTCTAGCATAACCATGTTGTTGTAGTTAGGTGCCATTGAGTTGGCTGTGACACATAGTGACCCTATGTATAACAGAATGAAATACTGCCCAGTCCTGTGTCATCCTCCCAACTGTTGCTGTTTTTGAACTCACTGTTCCAATATTTGGGCCATATAGTAAATGGTTACTGGTTGTTTATCCGAAATTCAAATTAACTGGGAATCCTGTATTTTATCTGGCAATCATAGGCCCTGGCCACTTCTGTCCCTGTTCTTAGGGTTTTCAGCAAGCCCAGCTGATACCACAGGAAAGAGAGAGAGGAAAGAGACAGAGTGACACAGTCAGGGAGTAACAGAAGAGGTAATAGAAAAGACAGACTGGAAGAGCCATTGTGAGAGAGAGGAGGAAAGAAAGAGGCAGTTTATGGATTGAATTGTGTCTTCCAAAAGATACGCTGAAGTCCTGGTCACAGGTGACATCAAGTTTGATTGGCATAACATACTACACACAAACCTTGTTCTACATCCTACTTTGGTGAGTATCGACTGGGATCTTAAAAGCTTGCAAGTAGACATCTAAGATGCAACAATTTGTCCTCCTCATCCAGAGAAAAGAAGAATGAAGAAAACCAAGGATGCATGGAAATAATGAGCCCAAGGGACTAGTGGACTGTGCAAAGCGCAGCCTCCATGACTATGAAACCAGAAGAACTAGATGGTGCCTGGTTACCACTGTCAACCATTTAAAAAGGGATCAGTGTAGGAAATTCTGGATAGAGTGGGAGAAAAATGTGGAACAAAACTCAAAATCATAAAAAAAAAAAAAAAAAAAAAAGACTAGGCTTACTGGTCTAATTGTTGTTGTTGTTATGTGCCGTCGAGTCGGCCCCGACTCATAGCGACCCCTCCTTGGGTTTTCAAGGCAGTATCACTACGGAAGTAGGATTGCCCAACCTTCCTTCCGAGGAGTGACTGGTCTAATAGAGACTGGTAAAACCTGCGAGACTATGGCCCCTGGTCACTCTTGGGCCTGGAACTGAAATCACTTATATGGCTTCCAGCCAAACAATAGGTGTATAAGGTGAACACTTACACCAGGTAGGTACACTCCTTAGAACAATCAACCATGGGAGATCAGAAGGGCAGTATTTGCACAGGGAGATAGCTCAGAGGGCACAGGGAAAAGGTAACCACAGGGTGGAAGTGGGAAAAGAGCTGTTACATTATGGGGATTGCAACCAATATCATGAAACAAAATGTGTATGAACTGTTGAATGGGAAATCAATTTGCTCTGTAAACTTTCACCCAAATCACAATTAAAAAAAAAAAAAAAAAAGATATGCTGAAGACCGAATTCCTTGTGCCTGTGAATGTGACCTTGCTTGGAAACAGGGTCTTTGAAGATGTTATCAGTTAACATGAGGTCATACTGGAGTAACCAGGTGCCTCAAGTTGATTCTGAGGCAAGGTGACCCCATGAGTGTCAGAGTAGAACTGAGCTCCAGAGGGTTTTTCAATGGCTGATGTTTTGGAAGTAAATCACCAGGTTTTTGTTCTGATGTACCTCTGGATGGATTGAATCTCCAACTTTTCAGTTAATGGCCAAGTGCACTAACCTTTTGCACTACCTAGGGACTCCCATAGGAGCTCTGGTGGTGTAATGGGTAAGACATCTGGTTGTTAACCAGAAGGTCAGTAGTTCAAACCCACCAGCTGCTCCGTTGGAGGAAGATGAAGCAATTTCCTTCCACAAAGATTTATAGCCTTGGAAACCCAATGGGGATTCCTATGAGTCAGAACTGACTCTATGGCAGTGCTTTTTTATTTTTTATTTTTTGGTTGGATCTCTGGTGGCCTAGTGCCTAAGGCATGTGACTGCTAACCAGAAGACTGGTGGTTCAAACCCACCTGCCACTCCTCAAAGGAAGATAGGGCAATCTACTTCTGTAGAGATACTGCCTCGGAAACCCAAGGAGGGGTTGCTATGAGTCCAATTGACTTGATGGCAGTGAGTTTGGTTTTTGGTTTGTTTTTTTGGGTAAGGACTTCCATACCAGAGTAGGGTGGGTCCTAAACCAATCTGAGTTACTCCTTATAAAAGAGAAGAGACAGAGACATATAGGCAGGAGATAGCCATGTGAAGATGCATCTATAAGCCAAGCAATGCCAACGAAAACCTGGAGCTAACAGAAGCTGGGAGAGATGAGAAAATCTCCTAGAGCCTTTGGGGAGAACATGGCCCTGCTGACATCCTGAATTCAGACTCTTGGGCCTCCACAACTGTGAGACAATAAATTTCTGTTCTTTTGAGACACGCAGTTTGTGTGTGAGATACTTTGTTATGGTAGTCCACAGAAATTAACACAGGCAGAGAAATAGAGTGAGAGAAACAAAGACTTTGACATAGAAGAGATCTAGAGCTTCAGCAAGGGTAAAAGCAGCCCCTCACCACCTCATCCTTCCCTCTAGTGCCTCCCTCTCGTTCCAGCCCCATCCTCACCTTAGAGTAGGTGGCCCCATTGATGACCTCTCCCTTTCTCAACCAGATGATGGAGGCTGCAGGCTTGGCATTGTCGGCGTGGCAGGTGAGGTTGAGGGGGTCTCCTGCTCGCAGGCTGATCACGGGCCCCCCCAGGATGACAGGGTCATCGGGTGGCACTGTGGGGAGAGGAGTAGTGGTCAGGCTGAGGGTGCCCCCTTTCCCCTCTGGTTGGAATTACAGGCTGGGCCTGGGGAATTTTATGGAAATGATGACAAACACGAATTATCATACTTTAATAAAAGTATAAACCCCTTGTATTACAACAATAACAGCAACAGCAGCAATAGTTTCTGACATACTCATTCCATGTTTATTAGTGGAGGATGCTGCTCGTCAGCGTCTCCCTGGCTCACAATAAGCATGAGGGGACGGGGCAGACCTCATTAGCCTCATTTTATAGATTGGGAAAGCAAGCTGTCACTGTCTAGATGATATCTGGGGTTTCTTTCTTTCTTTCTTTTTTTTTAAAACAAAGCCCTGTCACATCTGTTGTTTTATTTAATCCTTGAAGCAATCTTGTGAGGTAAACTTGATTATTACATCCCAATTAAACAGATCAGGAAACTGAGGTGCAGAAGGATTAAGTGACTTGTTCAAGGCCACACAGCGAATGACTGGCAGAGCCAGGTGCTCTGACACACTGGGGTGCTAGGCCCCTTCCAAAGTAGGAGGACTGATGAAAGACAACCCCCTCGAGGCTAGACAGCTTTTCAGAGGGGCTGTGCAGTCCATGGCAATTCCTAAGCAATTGGTTCTTTTTTTATTGTGATTTGGGTGAAAATTTACAGAGCAAATTCACTTTCCATACAGCAGTTCACATATCTCATGACATTGACTACAATTTACCGCAATGCAACAGCTCTCCTCTCACTTCCTCCCCATAGTTACTGCTTCCCTGTGTTCATCCCTCCATGCACTCCTGCCCCCTGAGCTGTCTCCTGGTGCATAAACAGCCCTTCTTTCTCCCATGATTGTTCTCTCCAAGGAGTGCATCCACCTCAGGTAAATGTTCAACTCCTATGCCTGTCTTTTGTTTGGCTGGAAGCCACAGATATGGGTTCATTTCCGGACCTGAAGGGTAGCTAGGGGCCATAGTCTCAGGAGTTCCACCAAGCTCTATCAGACCAGCAAACCTTGTCCCCTACCCTTTTCTTTCCCCAAATGATTTTGAGTTTTGTTCCACATTGTTTTCCCTCTCTATCCAGGATCTCCTACTTAGATCCCCTCTGAGTGGTTGACAGTGGTAGCTGAGCACCATCTAGTTCTTCTGGTCTCATAGTCATATAGGCTGCAGATCGCATGGTGTACCAGTTGCTAGGACTGATTGTTTCCATGAATCTTTGGTTTTCTTCATTCTTCTTTGCTCTTGACAAGGAGAGAACCATTGTTGCATCTAGATGGCTCTTTGCAAGCTTTTGAGATCCCAGTTGCTACTCACCAAAGTAGTAGGTGGAACAAGGTTTTGTATAGTATGTTATGCCAATTGAGCTTGATGTCCCCTGTGATCATTGTCCTGAGCCCACCGGTTCAACTACTCGGTCCCTCTGGGTAGCTGGTTGTGACCAAGAAGTGACTACAATCTTGTCCCTTGTCAGCTCTACTGTATTCTTACAGATCATACAAATACTCTTATAGGACCACTGTCTGCCAAACCTATACATGGTCTTGGGTATACTCCCTGCTACATAAACATACCTACTAGTTCAGCCTGTCCACCCATCTATCCACCTATATACCCATGTTTGCCTTCACTGACAATGCAGTAAAGTATTTGCAAAAGGGTTCATCTTTGTTGTCTGTACCTCCCATGTATATCTCTATGTCTTCCTCTTCCTCAATGCCACCAGGCTGAGCACTCACATTTGGTACATTGCCCTTCTCTTCACCCAAATCAATACTTATCTTTAGTTATCTAACAGTGTTCCCTACCCTACCCTCCCACCCTTGGTAACCAACAAAGAAAATTTCCTTCCATATCTAAACCTTTCCTTGACTTTTGCAATAACGGACTAATATAATATTTGTCCTTCTGTGATTGACTTACTTCACTCAGCATAACGTCCTCCAAGTTCATTCATGTTATGTGGTGTTTTGCAGATTCTACATTATTCTTTAGGGTTGCATAGTATTCCATTGTGTGTATGTACCATAGTTTGGTTATCCATTTGATGGACACCTAGGTTGTTTCCATCTTTTGACTATTGTAAATAGTGCTGTGATGGACATGGGTGTGCATAAGTCTGTTCTTGTCATGGCTTTCACTTCTTTAGGATATATACCTAGTAATGGAATGGCTGGGTCAAATGGTATTTCTAATTCCAACTTTTGAAGGAATTACCATACTGCTTTCCACAGTGGTTGCACCATTTTACAGTCCCACCAGCAGTGTATGACAGTCCCAATATCTCCACATCCTCACCAGCATTTGTTATTTTGTGTCTTGTTGAGCTTTGATACTAGTGCTGGGGCAAGATGGTATCTCATTGTTGTTTTGAATTGCATATCTCTAATGGTTAATAATCATGAGCATTTCTTCATATGTTTGTTGGCTGCCTGAATATCCTCCTTGGTGAAGCATCTATTCATGTCTTCTGCCCATTTTTTAATTGGATTATTTGTCTTTTTGTTATCGAGGTGTTGGAGTTTTCTATAAATTCTAGAGATAAGTCCCTTGTCAGATATGTCATTGCCAAATATTTTTTCCCAATCTGTAGGTTCTCTTTTGACTCTTTTGGAAAAGTCTTTTGAAGCACATAAAAATTTAATTTTTAGAAGGTCCCATTCATCTAGTTTCTCTTCTGCTGTTTGTGCATTTTGGGTTATGCTTGATAGTCTATTTATGTCATATATTAGGGCCCCTAAATTTGCCCCTAGTTTTTCCTTGAGGAACTTTATAGTCTTAGGTTTCACATTTAAGTCTTTGATCCATCTGGAGTTCGATTTTGTGTATGGTGTGAGGTACAGATCTTGTTTCATTTTTCTGCAAATGGATATCCAGTTTTGAGCAATTGGTTTTTTAAGAGCAACTTCATTCCTTCTGCCCCCAGACTGAGAGCCAATCTTTCCTGCCGTGGTTCTTCCATTGCATTTTGTAGTGTTTTTGGAGGCTTGTGACTCCTGCCAAGAGTCTGGGGTGGGGTGGGGTGGGCAGGAGCAGAGCACAGCAGGCTCTATCCTCCAGCCTCATTCCCTCAGAGGACAGCTCTTGGACCTGTCTGGCTTTCCTCCCCTCCCCGGGGCATTTCCCTATCCCCTCTCCTTGTCCATTATGCCTTCTTAGGAAACAACCCCTTTGCCCCTGGTCTCAGAGAAGGTCAAGTCCTGGATTAGTAGGCCTAGTGAGTGCCAACCTCCACTTTCTATTTCCTCAGGAAAAACAACCCCTCAGGGCTTCCAAGATTTGATCACTATCCCACCCAGGATCCTGGCCCAGGAAGGAAGTCGGCCTCTTTGAGAAGGTCATCCAATCCTGCCCAGCCCTCAGTGTTTTTCAATCCAAGCCTCCCCAGGAGGCCAGGCCTGTGCAGATGGCAGTTAGGGCTGAGCTGCCAGGCCTAGAGGAGGTGGCCTGTGTGGGTTGGATAATGAAGACAACCTCCCCCATGCCAAATCATTAGGCCTTCCCTCTGCCTCTTAACCAGTGTGGGGTGGGTGTGGCCAGATGAGAAAAGCTGGCTAATTAAGGCTTTCTGTAAATGGGTGGGTGAGATTAGTTGCTGATGAGGGGAATTTCATCTCTATGCAGTGGGCCTGCCCTCACCCTTCAGAAAAGCCCATGCTCCCTTCTTTCTGTGGTGGCAACTTCTCCTGTACTAGTTGCCCAGGATGGAGGCAATGACTTGGCTCAGTGAGCTTGCTGAGGGCCTAGAAAACTTGAAAGTGCTACTTAGAGCTTTGTTGGTAGCTGCCATGAAGTTGACCCCTGACTTATGGTGACACCATGCACAACTGAACGAAATGCTGCTCGGTCCTGCACCATCCCCATAATCAGTTGGGGATTGGACTGTTGTGATCTCATAGGGCTTTCATTGGCTGATTTTCGGTAGATTGCAGGTCTTTCTTTTAATTCATCTTAGTCTGAAATCTCCACTGAATCTTGTTCAGCACCATAGCAACACACAAACTTCCACTGACAGATGGGTAGTGAGGGTGCATTTGTGCATGAGGTGCACTGGCCAGGAATCAAACCCAGGCCTCCTGCATGGAAGCTGAGAATTCTACCACTGAACCACCATTGCTCTCACTTGGAGCTTTAGGAATACAATGAACACCTGGATCATTGTTTCCTTTATAGTCTACATGACCCAGATGATGAGTCAAGTGGCATGGTATTATAGAAAGTGCCCTAAAATAAGACCAGGGAAGTCAGTCCTTCTCTGGGATTAAGTATCCTCAGGCACAAAATGTGAAAGTAGCAGCAGATCTCAGAAGTTCCCTCTAGCACTGACATTTGCTGGGTCTCAACTTGGAGACAGGAAGTAGAAGTAGATTAGTGGTTACCATGGGCTGGGAGGAGAGTGGGGAGTTTTTGCTTAACGGAAACAGAATTTCTGTTTGGGGAGATGAAAAAGTTTTGGAAACAATTAGTCATAATACTTGCACATCATGATGAATATAATTAATGCCACAAAATTATACACTTACAAATGGCAAATTTTATATTTCACCACAAAAATCCTGTTGCCAGGCCATACCCATGAGTAACTAAATCTGAATCTCTGAAGTGGACCCTAAAAAGCATCAGAGGCTTTTAAACCTCCCAGCTGGTTTTGATGTATGACCAAGTTTAAGAACCAACCATCTCTGGGTTTTCACGTAGGTGCACAATGCAAAAGGTTTGGCTTCCATTACTAACTTAAAGATTGGCGGTGAGAACTCATCCAGCAGCGCCATGGAACAAAGTCCTGGCAATCTGCTTTCATAAAGATTATAGCCAACAAAACCCGGTGGAGCAGTTCAACTCTGTAACACATGGGGTTGTCGTAAGCTGGAAGCGGCAATGGTTTTTATAGAGCCATAACCTGCTCTGACCACAGTAGGGAGACTAGGGAGGCCTTTCCAAAAACAAAAACAGTGACGAATCAAGCCCTTCTTTTGTGTTTCTCTAGTGTGGTGT